TCGCCAAGGTGGATTCTCGGAGTAAGTTACCAGTTTTTTATAAATTAAAAGTTATTCTTGAAACGCCAAATAATACAACGGTATGCTTAAATAAAGAAATACGCCTACTGTATTAATTGCTATATATATACGTTTCAATTGTTCACTCATGTCGACGTGTTTTGAGTTTAGGTTACAGTATTGCGCCTCCTCAAGAGACTATCGCCAAGGTGGATTCTCGGAGTAAGTTACCAGTTTTTCATAAATTAAAAGTTATTCTTGAAACGCTTAATAATAAAACGGTATGCTAAAATAAAGAAATACGCCTACTGTGTTAATTGCTTTATATAATTCTAAACAATTCTAAACAATTCTGCTCTAAATAAACACCCGACCCTTGCTCTGTTTAGAATTTTGTTTATTTCTGTCCAAGTTTAGTGTTGTTGTTGAAAGCGACTCAGCAATGAGGTACTTCTATTGTCCAGTGTGTGTACCTGTTGTTGCAGTTTATTAAGTTTTATCATATATTACCCACTCACAAGATCGATTTCTCTTTTTTTTTCAGATAAGCAAGGTTCATAAACCAACAGGAACCATAATTTATAATACCCATATCTTTATGAAGTAAAGACAGCGGTACACGGCCAATTTACATACTGACGATCGAGAACGTTGAGGACTACGATTTTTGAATACAATTCATGGGAGGTGAAATTAATGTTAACTGGTGAACAACATATACCATGTGTTGGTCGTGACGGCTAAATACTTGTATTACTAACGCGTATTTCTTGATGATATATCTGATAACGTCTCTTTAAAGCGCTTGATGTTCTTATGAAATATCGCAATTTGGAAACTTGCTAATACCACTTTTATCCCTTATACATAATTGTTTGTAAAAGAAATTCGAATGTGGCATGTACAAAGAAAACTTTCAGGTATTGAAATAGGAATGACAAAATCACAATGTTACTAAAGCACTATTAATACAAATGAAACTGTAATCGTTGGAAATCAAATGTAGTGAAAGTAAGGTTAAAAAACGTTGTTGGTGGAACATATTGCCTTCTCCAAGGAACATCTGATATTGATGTTTAGAAGTAATTTTTCCTGCTTTATTAAGTAACCGTTACTCTCTATTTCATTTTTGTTGTTTTTTACGCTTATAGTGTCAATTCAAATTACTTGGACTCTGTGGGTATAAATCGGGAATAAATCGGTTATAAAATGAATATAGTTGTAATTTGTTTTGTGGGGATAAATACGAAACGTTTTAATAGTGTTCCTCTCTCTCCTAAATTTTCTCTCTCTCTTTTTTTTTTTTTACCGAAATCGAATCGCTTTATTGGAACTTGTACTTTGATTATTACTTAAATTTACTGAGTTTATGTTAATGTTTTGAGGAAAGAATCGGGGAAATTTGTTTCCAAAATGTAGGACTTTGTGACGTATCGAAACGCACCTGTTAAAGATTTAATCCCTCACAAGTTTATCTCCCTCACAGAGAAGCTTTAACATGTTCACTACAGCATGATGGGAAATCGGTTCCTAATCCCATTTCAATCAATCAATCTATCGGACTCAAAATAAAAAAGGCAAATTCATGTATAACCATCCGTCCATTACTGAAATATGTAGAGAGAGGTGATAAAAGTATTGCATAACCTGTGCGAATTGTGCGCTTTGTGACAAAAATAAATAAAGAAAAAGAAGGGGATACAAGATGCCCCACCCAGCAAACACGTCACGTTCGGATCACGTGGTTAGCACGTTGCTATGACGTTATAATGAGGTAGCAGCGTGCTAGCCACGTGATCCGAACGTGACGTGTTTGCAGGGCAGATAGCCGCCAGATATGGTGTGTCTGGTCAGACTGCAGACCTTGATAGTGTGACCTGGGTGTTGTCCAGTGTCAAAGATCGTCTTCGAACTTTACCGTCATGATAAAGCTGTCTTAAATACACCTTGCACACGAATATCTGCATCAAAGAAAGTATAAAACCTAGAAGAAGAGAATCGGATTTAATCCCTATTGTTACTGGAATTCCTATTAACTTCTAAAAAGATCTATAGAATTTTTACCGCTCATTCTACTACTACTACCACTACTACTACTGAGAAGAGAAAAATTTGAATTAATTCCTAATTTATACGAAGTCTTAAAGAAACATCGAAATATAGACGATTTATTGCTAAAATTGTTGAAAATACTACCAATACCATTATTATACATTCACTAATCTAACTACCACTATACTACTAAAACTAGGGGAAAAAATCAACAAGAAGAAGAATAATAACAAATACACATAAATATCCCCGGGACAATATTACTGTAGCTTTTTGAAAAATAAAACAAATATTTAGACGAGAAAAATTGATATTTGTAAACTTTTACGTATGGAGGTCTTTCACTCGCAGAAAGTATCAGAAGCGGGTAAAGATCAATAAAGGTTAAAAGTTGAGGTCTAAATATCAAAATTGATACTGTGGTGCTAGCGCATGCTACTTACGTGTGATGCCAACATTAGCTTGCAGGCTCTTTATATTCAAGTGCTAATCGTCTGCGCATGCGCACCAGCGTGTTTATGTCTACTTATAGTATTTGAACCACTACTGAACTTTTTTTCATACAGTAATGCATAATTCCATCGATATTATATGAATCATCACATTTCACTTGTGGATGTACCAGTAGGTTTGTGCTTAAGGATATTACCACCCTTCACCCAAAACTCCTTATTTACTGCCTTATATACATTCTTTGGGGTAAAAGATAAATCTTCAGTGTTCAGTGACTAAATTACGTATACTAAATTAACATATACGTCATCTTACGGGTGATGTCATAATTGCGATTTTGGGGTAAAAACTGAAAAATCGGTTTCTCACATTTCTTCTTTACCTAAGCACCCACGATTACCGTTTCAACGCCGATTTAATGACACGTACCATTTAGTACTCCAAAGCCGTGTCAGCATTTTTTCTTAAAAGTCTTAGTTCATATTTTATCGTTGATAAAGCAAAATAATGCGTTTGTTTAATAAAAATCTATAATAAGGGGCTCATAACCCCATAACAAAAACACTTGAACCAAAATATAGGCACTTGATTGTAGCCCATACACTCGTGGTCAACTGTGCCAATTAAGTTAATTCGCAGAGAAAGTAATGTGATGTTTACAGTTCGAAGCAGGTAGCAGTCATAATACAATGACAGTGAACACAGGTAACATTTGACAATGCCAAATTTATTTAAACATACTGAAAACTAATTCTTTTGCAGCTTTAGGGTGTCTGTAAAAGCTTCTCAACGCTTTTAAACATGGAGAGCCACGTAATCCTATCACTATCTTTGGACAATTTTAAGGGGTGTAGTAAATTGCACGACCGCGCCTGAAGCGCTGCACCGAGATCCGACCATGGATAACTGTTCTTCATCGGAATGACGTCTGATCGGTCTGCCTTCTCCGTGGTTAGGTCAACTAATAATGGCACGGCAATTTCAGCAAATAAACGCGGGATGTCAGGTTCCGTCATCCACTTCAAAACCTCAATAAATCGTGCCCGGTATCGGTTATTTGGGATGAATACCGTGTCTGCGTAATACTTAGATATCAATCGCTTTCCTGATTTCGTCCAATTTTTCACGTGAGCCAAGCCTTCCCTCCACGCTTCAGGCATAATATCGATGATCTTCCGCAACGCGGCGCCACCGTACGTTTGCAGCCACCACATCCACCCGTCTGGCCACTTGATATTTATGTCGTATGTTTCTATGGGACCCAATATCCACATGGCGTCTCGGCGATAGGACAAAAAAGATGAAAGATTAAAGAAGGTATCATCACTGACGACAAGGAAAGACGTATTTTTGTTTCCAAACCCTTCATAGGTGAGATGATTTAGAAGACAGCGGTGCGGAAACTTGCCACCTTCTTGTTCCTTGTCCGTGCACGGCAGGAAAGGAACGCTTGTATCCATAAACGGCTGAGTAGCGCCTTCCCCCATGAATGTTATCTCCTTAAAATGTCTGCTGTACATTTGATACAATGTTGTAAATGCTTGCTCGCCGGGAATGAGATTGAAATGAACACACAACCTAACGTCGTCCCAAGGTTTGGGCATCGCCCGTCTTTCGGCCCAGCTTGGTACGTGGGCTCGCGGGAAGACATACCCAGCTGTCTTCAGCAACTGTATCCAAGTGTCTAATATTGCCAGATCTTCTTTCAAAATGATTCCTTTGTCGAATAAATACAGATACAGTTCTTTTAGCCTCTTATCTATTGACGCTGAGTTGCTGGACCATGCAAGTAAAAGATTGGTCAGTTTGATCAGCGTTGTGTCCTTAGACTGAGAGTTTTGTCCCGATGTTCGACGGGATGGAGTCGTTCTCTTAGTCCAGGGCGGTGAGACCGACATGCTACCGCTGATATCCCACAGAAGTCTTTGAGTTATATAACCACGAATAATATCACATATCGACTCCTCACATGTGGTGGGTAACAAAAGCCCCCAAAATACATCATACATATGTAGCGTTGAATGCTGGATATTTGGCACAAATGTTCCTTCTTGTATTTCCACGGGGCCCCCAACAGATTTGTTGAATTTCAATGGCGACTTGAGAATTCCTTCCGGTACATCGGCATACCCATCTATGAGATAGTGGACAAGTAATTCACTTGAATTCCGCAATGCGTATGGCACCGGAGGAGCACTGCAGGCAGGACGTCTCGACACCTCTTCTGGAAGATCTCTTGGCCGAACGTCTTTTTTGGAGTAAAAATATGAAAAAGGGTTCCAAAAATTCACTTTACCTGCTGGTATAACAAAAGGGATATCAGCACCTTTGTTATCTAGAGGCGGGCTAGAGGCCAGCCATTCGTGTCCAATTTCTTCATCGTCGTCATAAATCATCCTCGCTCCTTTGGCTATAGCTACTAAATAGCCAATTGTTTTTCTATTCACGTGGTATTTGAGAATAGTGGCGTATTTCGCCGCATCTGTTACGTACATTGTACCGTTTTGTTTGCTTGGTACAAATATATGCAAGCGGTACTGATTCCCCTGTGGGAATTTTAATGTATAAGACCGCGTGAAAGTTTCTGACACAAAAATAGCACACCATGGAACCTGTAGTTTATCAAGGACATTTTTTATTCGTTGAGCGGAGGGATATTTCCCGGTATCCGCAACAATCCATCTTTCGCAAGTGAAGACCTTAGGCAATTCCTTCTTTGGGGGTGTTTTTTTTTTTTTTTAATTTTTTCGGAGAACGGACGAAAATCGGTGCGCGCGCAGGATGTCATCCATAAAAATAAAAAAGTGTGACCTAATTAACTCATCCAAGCGAGAAGATAACGGCAGTTAAGTCATGATCAGTGATTTTGCTTTGTTCTCAAACATTCCTACAGCTGCAGATACATATCTACCTGCAATGCTCTTTGTATGTTGAACAACCTTCTGACATCAATGTCAAAACCCCCGTTGGTGACCCAGTCGTCCTTTTCTTTAGTTGGAAATTCCTTAAAGATTCTTTTCTGATAATATTGTCTGTTTTAGAGTACCTTTTTCCAAAGTTAAATCTGAATTATTAAAAAGGAAACAAATTGATAAAATGTACACACAAAGGGACGCCTTTGGCATAATTAACTTTCTCTGCCCACTTTAGAGCCATGCACCTTTTACATTAGCGGGCAATTTGACGGCTTAGATTAAGTCAGCGTGTTTGTTTTGTTCTTAAACAAAGCAGATAGTTTTTCCAAAAATTCAATCTGAATTATTAAATGTGATACAAAGAGATATTCATGCGTAGGACTTCTCTCATTCCACTAAGAATTACATTTCCAAAATTAAATCTGAATCATTAAAAAAGAAACAAATTGATGAACTGTACACACAAAGGGACGCCTTTTACATTCTATTCTGTACCCGCTTATATGCATTAGCAAGTTGTAACTTATTAACTGTGCCAAGCGAGGTGGAACTGGCAGTTAAGATTAAGTCAGCGATTTTGCTTTGTTCTCAAACAAAGCAGATAGTTTTTCCAAAATGAAATCTGAATTATTGAATACGATACAAAAAAGATACACCAGGCAGAGAAATAACTGCTTGTTTCCATGTACAGAATTTGGAAGGAAGCCTAAAGACTCGGTCACGCAATAGGTTCAGAAAACCTCAGCAGTTCAGATGGTATGTAAATTCAGTTGCATGTATAGGACACTTTTTTCATTCCACTGAGAACAAAAACATGAAGACGCTTATGGAGTCTCGGCTTGGACACATCAATCTGGTAATAACACCTATAAGAACTGATGACGATCTGCTCACAGTACATGTAGTTTCGCTAAAAGTTAAATAGAACCATTTTATTGCATATCGAAAATTAATCTCCAAACTCCCATTTAAATAACTCTCTTTATGATACATAAGCTTAATTATCTTAAATTTCAAGATATTGTATCTTCAAAACTGATTAAGATAACATATAGTAGCCATTGAACTTTAATAGGAAATCAGATACGGTGAATGCAAATGGAAACCAGAATTACACCTTGGACCCATAAATATTTGTAAAAAAAGAACCAAACTGCCACCATTTCCCAGCAGCATTACTACTTGTTAATCTTACTGCTACCACATGCCTAAAGGTTGCACACACACACACACACACACACACACACACACGTTTTATTTCAATAAAATAAAGATTATTCATTGTTGTGCTGTCAAGTTGTGTAGGACAGTAACACCAAATACTTGGGAATATCTAGAATTCCATAATTTTTGTGAACCATGTCTCTAAATCCCAGGGCCCAGTTTTATAAAGGACGTTTAACACTAACCAGTGTTCAACTCTAGCCAGACCTAAATAGTCTGTTAGTAAACTGACCTTTAAATAACTATTAAATCCAGTTAAACACTGGGCAGTTAACTTTTTGGCTGTTTTCCGTCAGAAGACACAATTTAACCATCTTTTAGTTAATGGGTGTTAGGGGAATTTATCCACTGGTTAGGCTTATCCACTGGTTAACGTCCTTTATAAAACTGGGCCCAGATGTTTAGAAATCAAACAAACAATACGTCATAACTTGTTTTTACCTAATTCAAGCATGTGTTAATTTTCGGTTTGGAAATAATAAATTGCCTAAATGCTCTATTAAATACATGAACATATGATGGTGGATGAATAATATGGGGCCTTCAACTACGTAAGGTTTACGAATACAGTGCCTGCTCTGGTTTGTGTATGGGTGACGTCAAACCATGGATTTTGGGCTAATCCAAACAAAATTCTGAATTATTATAAAGGAAACATTTTAATTCCCACCATGAATCAAGTAAGGCTCTATTCCCATAGATTTTAGATCGATCTATCCCCGCGGGGAGTCTCACTAGATTACTTTCAGATAATCCGACTTAAATGTCCGTCCCGCCTACTACAAGCTGTAAGGGGATAATTAACTTTCGTGTCCGCCCGGCTGACAGCTATTTAGCGTGAGTTAGGTCGATCTAAAGTAGGTCGATCTAATCTATGGAAATGGGGTGTAAGGCAGAATGACTTTCATCTCCACCACTATATTTCTTCAAGTAATTATTCTGAAAAACACATCCTTTGCTCTTATAAGCAAATCAATTACCTTTTCCAAAATGAAATCTGAATTATTAAAAAGAAACAAATTGATGAAATGTACACATAAAGGGACGCCGTTGACATCCTTTTCTGTACCCGCCTATATGCATTAGCAAGTTTAAACTTATTAACACAAGTCAGATTGAATAAAATTGATTGTCATTCTTTCTTTGTATTTATTTACTTATTGTTTACTTTTACCATCCGTATTAAGTAGTTTTCTTAACATGTAAAAAAATAACGAACCTTTCTTTCCTTTTATTTATTCAAAAATACATTCAAAACTAATGATTAAGTCTCAAGTGATCTATTGTGGACAATAACAACGATCATTCTGAAAGGACTCGGAATTTCAAAGCGGTCCCTCCATTTTAAAACTGGCAGTCCGGGGTCCCTACGTTTCAAAATGCAGTGTCCCCCGGACAGTAGGATTCGGTACTAAGTGTCTTGCGGACTGTCAGTTTTAAAACATAGCGTCTGCCGGACCGTGAAAGGACAGGACTCCCCGTTTCGTTACACCGGACTGTGACGGTAAATACATCTGAAGATTTAGAATTCTATGGCTCTAAATCACTGCTGTTTATATTATTTTTCAATGAAAGGAAAACAAAAGGGAATACATAAAAATTAATAGTGTCTGTGCTTCAACCCGTTTGTTATAAAATATTGATTTACTCACATCAACCGAATTATATTTGGCGAAAAGCATGCGTACGTAGGTTGTTTATTAACAACAACTTACGCCCTATAAAAGACATCACACTCAAAGCAACTTTACAGTTGTTCTTGACAGAAAGGTTAGAAGCATATCAGTTTCTGGGAGGACCAAATTGCCGCCAATAGCCACATCCAGTAAGTGCTACTGTTTATCTACTTTTTTCATGGGCAGTTAGTCAGAAAGTTTTCATTTATGATAGATCCAGAAATTTGATTTACCTGTTGGCTGTTTTGTCTGAACCAGACCTATCGAAATTAAGATCCAATGAAACTATTTTCACATGGGCAGTTAGGGCACTGAGTTTATTGTTTAGGGTCAGGTTTTTCTCTAGTTTTGTTTTTCAAAAACGACCCTGGCAACCAGAAATTATTGTTATTGCTATTTTTTCTACGAAAGAGTGTCGTTTTTCACATACGATTTTGGCAACCAGAAACTATTGTCATTTTATTTCCAAAAGTGCGGTTGTTGTTTTTCAGAAATGATTCTGGAAACTATAAACCAGTATAGGCTCTCTACCTGGGCTGCATGTTAGTTATGTGCACCTTTCTCCAACACGATCCTGGCTCTTTTGAAAATGTAAAAATCACTTCAAACTGCGCGCGTGCAAGAACATTGTACTTGTTCTGCAGAAGCATCTTCTTAGCGCCGATATGCATAACTCTTCCAACCGATCTTCGGTTATCTGTCAGGTAAATGTGCCACGAGGTTAGCAACACGATGTTTTGTCACCTTGATCGGTTTATTAATATAATGTAATGAATTTGAGACGCATCTCTGCATGAAAACCCCAGCTTTTAGTTTGTCGAACGCTCCGAAGTTGTCGGAGGTCACAGAATTTATTTAAAAACTGAAAGAGTTGGTTACATTTGGATTAAAAAACCACTCGACAGAACAATTTATGGTTATTTCATCCATAATATAATCGAGCGGTCGCATAAATACGACACGTTTTCAGTAAAAACAAAAACGGGAAGTCGCAGTTTGTTTTACGACCAATCAAAGAAATAGAAAAAGTTATCTTTACTGTATCTAAGGACAAACTCAGCAGGTTTCGTCGTAGAAAATTAACTAAACTTGTAGTGGTCCAGGCCATTGTGACATTTTGAGTGGGCACAGACGGTGACAGCAGTCAGTTCCAGAGTTTCAGGTGTTTATTTTTTCTTCAACGATCCACCTACCATGACTAAAGAACTCTAGGTTGAAAATGGAGCTGGTATCATGACATCACAGGCACATTCCTTCAGATTCAACGAATAAATGCAATTTTTTGGGGTAGGCGGTTCTAGTTATTTTGATTTAGGTCTAAAACTTTTTCTTAGAAAATCTATTAAGCGTTTCATGGAATAAAAAGCTGTTGACAAAATATTTTTTATTGATATGCAACATGTAGGTATGTCTTGGTTGGTTATATTATTCACGTTCCTGCCGCGCCTCCCCCCCCTCCCCCTTTACCGGCATCCAGAATGTGGTAATAGACCCCCAAATGGAAGAAATAAGTTAATCGATAAACAAGTGGAAACTAAATTATATGTAAAAAAATTAGACAACAATGACCATTTTTACATTCGATTAATAAACAATGACTAAACGAGACACTAAAATTTGTTATTTGCACTCAGGTTTTCCTAATAACAGTTTGCTCAAATCCTCAGTCCAATTATCACTATATACACTGCCTTACCATGCGTCTCCCGCTTAGTACTTAGGTGAATGGTTAACATTCCTGCCTCTGGATATAAAAATTCCATAAAAAAAATGTTTTGAACACATAATAGTCTAAGATTTTCCCATGTGCAATTAATGCACTTTACCATGAGGTGGTCGATGAATAATATTGTCGTGTTCAGCTTCTGTGCTCTATCCTTGATGTATATATTATAAATTGTCTGCTCCGACATTAGTTTTATTCTTAATTTTAGAAAGACATTGGACCACATCTTGCTCCCTTGCCTGTTTGCCGTACGCCATGAAGATTTACTCCATTGGTCTTATTTTGACTATCGCCATGGTAGTCAACAGAGTGGTTTCTCAGAGTAAGTTACCAGTTTTTCATAAATTGAAAGTTATTCTTGAAACGCCAAATAATAAAACGGTATGCTAAAATAAAGAAATACACCTACTGTGTTAATTGCTATATATATATATATATATATACGCTACGATTGTTCACTCATGTCGACGTGTTCTGAGTTTAGGTTACAGTATTGTGTCTCCTCAAGAGACTATCGCCATGGTGGTTTCTCAGAGAAAGTTACCAGTTTCTCAGAAATTGAAAGTTATTCTTGAAACACCAAACAAGTTAACGTATGCTAAAATAAAGAAATACTGTGTTAACCGTTATATATACGCTTCGATTGTTTGACGGACGTGGTCAACTCATATCGACGTATTCTGAGTTTGGCTTGTACATTGTATCTCCACAGATTTTGTAAATTTGGGTTGCTGGGGTGACAAGCCAAACCGGGCAGTTCCTACTTTAGAAGGTAAAGATCCCATCCTTGACGGGCCTTACTGGAAAAGAGAAAACCCAATCGAGAAATGCTACCAAGCTGCAAAGAAACGCGGGTACCAGTATTTCGCCATACAGCACGGTGGATGGTGTGCCTCTTCCAGTGACGCTGGGCAGACATATAAGAAATATGGGGCTTCAAACAGATGCCAACCAGATGGAGAAGGTGGACCATGGTCCAATCAAGTTTACAAGATATCGGACGGTAGATTTTATAGAAAATCATTTGGGTAGATATTGTCCATTGAAACCAACAGGGTGCACTTATTAAAAGAGTCATAGTATCCAATAATATTTGTATAATTTTTAAAAATACAAACAGTAATTATACCTCTTATCTGTAGATCTAGCATTTTTCTACTGTGTATTCGATTGGGTGACGTTCTACATGTTTGTGTTAAACTTCCATGTTTTTTACCAGAACTGATGACCACATTGTCTTTATGTCTTTTTGCATAATGAAAAAGCGCTTCCGTGTTTTTCACTACTAAAGATGTACAGTGTACATGTAGTTTGTATTTAAAAGTGTGAGTGAAAAAAAGCAATTTTTTCGTCTTTACTATGCATGATGGTAACCAGTGCGGTACATTTTATCATGTGAATGACATGATATTTAAGCCTTTATACATGTCCCCTTGTAGTAAATGTAAAATATCCGCATTGCATCTCGTTTATATTTTTTTTATTATTATTCTATTATTGTTATTTTTTATTTATTTTTTATTTATTAATTTTTTAATCTATTATTTTATTTTATTTAATTTTTTTTTTTTTTTTTTTTTTTTTTTTTTTTTTTTTTAAACAGGTAGCGGAAACCAGGAGGAAGGTGCCAAAAGTAAGTGTCAAATCATTTTCGAATATAAATTCTAAAAGATACTTTCTAGTTAGGGAAAAATTGCTATATATATGATTAGATTGTTTGACGGACGTGGTCCACTCATATCGACGTACAGCATGTACATTGTATCTCCACAGATTATGTTAAACTGGGTTGCTGGGCTGACAGGCCATACCGGGCAGTTCCTAGTTTAGAAGGTCAAGATCCCACCCTTGACGGGCTTTACTGGAAAAGAGAAAACCCAATCGAGAAATGCTACCAAGCTGCAAAGAGACGCGGGTACCAGTATTTTGCCATACAGCACGGTGGATGGTGTGCCTCTTCCTGTGACGCTGGGCAGACATATAAGAAATACGGAGCTTCTACCAGATGTCAGTCAGATGGAGAAGGTGGACCATGGGCTAATCAAGTTTACCAAATACCAGACGGTAGGTGTTTCGGCGCTTTTTTCATAGAATATTTATAGAAATCTTTTGGATGGTTATTGTCCATTGAAGCCAACAGTCTGCACTAATTAAAAGAGTTATAGTATCCAAGTTGAAATTTGTTTAATTTTTGAAATCGCAAACAGTATTTATAACTCTTACGTGTAGCATTTTCTACTATTAATTCGATTGCGTGAGATTCTACGTGTTTGGCTTTTATGTTTTTTACCAGAACTGATGACCAAATTGTCTTTATGCCTTTTTATATGATGAAAATGCGCATGCAGGTTTTTCACTCATAAGATTGTACATGCAGTTTGTATAAATGTGTGAGTGTAAAAAGCAATACGGTTTTCGTCCTTACTATGCATAATAGTAACCAGTGCGATACATTTTATCATGTGAATAAGATGATATTTAAGCCTTTATGCATGTCCTCTTGTATTAAATGTAAAATACCCGCACTGCATCTTGTTTTTATTTTTTTTTTTTTGTAACAGGTAGCGGAAACCAGGAGGAAGGTGCCAAAAGTAAGTGCCAAATCATTGTCGAATATAAACCCTAAGAGTAAGATACTTACCGAAGGAAAAAGTGGGAAAAGGGTCTCCCAACATTTACTGTACTTCTTGGATATTCTTTGCCTAGAAAACACAGATTTTACTCCAAAAATAAAAGCTAGAGTTGGCAATCCTCATTAACGGTAATTGCCGTTTTCTAACACGTACGAGCCGTACATTTGGGGGTATAGTACAAATGCACAAATGAACGACTTCAGCTACGAATTAACTATCCCAACGTAAAATTGCTTGCCACAATCTTAGCGTTTCAATATACAAACAACTTGGCCACCTTCCATGCGGGTCTCTGCTTGTATCTATAGACCCCCTACGAGTGTCTTTGTATATGGAAGCAATGTGTTCTCGACAATCTCCAGCTTTTACATAACGTACCGAATGGGTAGGTAAGTGTAATAATAGGTTAGCGGTTAGCCTAGGTTAGGGTAAAAATTATTATGACAACCAGTTTATGTAAAGTCCTTTTCATGTAATTTGGTTAATAACGGCAAACACTTTATAATGGACTTGGTAAAATTTTATTAGCTGTGGAACAAGCTTTGTCTTGTGTTTGGAAGGAATTACTGTCAAAGGTGGAATATTTCATTCCACATTTCCTTATTAGGCAATTCATAAGAGGCCTTTTTCGATAAAAACTTTTTAACTGCTCTTGCTTGGACCATATCCATTATTAGTTTGCATGTGTTTAACACGTGTCGGCAACTTACAAATCTATTGAGAACTTAACCAATCCAATCGAGCTACCTGGTATATGTGATTTGACATGTTCCATCTTTTTTAACCACGAAAACAGTTTCTTGTTGACTCTTAAACTTACACTAAATAACTCCCTATCCTTTTCCTCATTACATTCCGTTTTAATTATTATCCGAAACTAGTAAAAGTGTAAATCATTTGCTTTACACATGAATAATTTAGCTCAATGGTTGTTTAAAGGTTAGAGTGGTAAAATAACGAACACTACTAAAATAGTCGTGTTCTAAGGAGAGTTTGTATCTATACAGGTTACAAAAAATTGGGTTGCTGGGCTGACAAGCCAGAACGAGCAATTCCTACCTTAGAAGGTCAGGATCCCATCCTTGACGGGGCTTACGAGACAAGAGAAAACCCAATCGAGAAATGCTACCAAGCTGCAAAGAAACGCGGGTACGAGTATTTCGCCATACAGCACGGTGGATGGTGTGCTTCCTCCAGAGACGCCAAGAAGACATACAAGAAATACGGGGCTTCTACCAATTGCCAGTCAGATGGAGAAGGTGGACCATGGGCCAATCAAGTGTACAAGATAACGAAAGGTAGGTGTTTCGGCACATTTAGCATAGAGAAAAAATATTTTTGGAATATATTGGCGCTGGAAACCAACAGTTCGTACCGATTTAAAGAAACCACGTCCTTTTTATTTTGAAATTGAAAATAGAAAAAAAAAAACATTAAACACGTTTGGAAAAAAGAACACATGTTTAAGATGCATATAAAGTAAATATTTTGCCACAAAATCCAACCAAATGCCAGCATAAAGTTTCAAGTAGTATAACTAAGAGAATGACCAAAAGACATTGTTCAATTTTACCCCAAAAACGATATTTGAATTTTTTAATGATGTTTATTGGAAAGCGCTAAAAGCATTAGATGCACGCCATGTAAAACAAAATTAAATAAGTAAATAAATAAAACATATGGATACGTATATGCAACAAAATATATATATATATATATATATATATATAATAACTTCAAAGATTTCAGAATTGGAACACATACAAGAAATAATTAAATGCAGAGAGAAAGAAAATAAAAGGGAGAAAAAATTTGTGATGAGGTTTGATACTCTGTAATGCGATCTGACACACACCTTGAAAACGGGTAGTGTGGTCTGATATACCGGTTTATTCTGGATCCGTAGGTGCCGAGTCTGGTAGTTGGTTAGGCCTGAATATGTAAATGCTTTTTAACTCCCTTGAGCTGAAGTATCAGATTTAATAGCTCATGCAAGCAGGACAATTAAAAGTTTGAGACGCTGCCAGACCTCAAAGGTCGAGAATGCGACCGGGGCGTTGCATTTATTTGAACTACAACACAAGATAATTTTGTATTTCATTTTGGTACTTTTTATACTAATCAGGGAATTTAGACTAAATACATGAATCTCTGCAGAATATATCTGTTGTTGCAATTAATCAAGTATTATCATATGTTACCAATTTACAAGAACGATTTCCTCTTTTTTTCAGACAAGCAGGCTTCATAAACCAACAGGAAACCATAGCTTATAATACCCATATCGGTATTCGGCCAATTTACATACTGACGATCAAGAACGTTGAGGACTACGATTTTTGAATACAATTCATGGGAGGTGAAATTAATGTTAACTGGTGAACAATATATACCATGTGTTGGTGGCTAAATACTTGCATTACTAAAATGTGTATTTCTTGATGATATATCTGATGACGTCTCTTTAAAGTGCTTGATGTTCTTATGAAATATCGCAATTTGGAAACTTTATGCCACTTTTATCCCTTATGCATAATTGTTTGTAAAAGAAACTCGAATGTGGCATGAAGAAAGAAAACTTTCAGGTATTGAAATAGGAATGACAAAATCACAATGTTACTAAAGCACTATTAATACAAATGAAACTGTAATCATTGGAAATCAAATGTAGTCAAAATAAGGTCAAAGTAACGTTGTTGATGGAACATACTGCCTTCTCCAAAGAACATCTGATATTGATGTTTAGAAGTCATTTTTTTCTGCTTTATTAAGTAACGATTACCCTCTATTTCACTTTTGCTGTTTTTTATGCTTATAGTGTCAATTCAAATTACTTGGACTCTCTGGGTAAAAAGCGGGAATAAATCGGTTATAAAATCAATTTAGTTGTAATTTGTTTTGTGGGGATAAATAATTCTGAGTGCGAACTAAATGTTTTCTTAGTGTTCCTCTCTCTCCTAAATTTTATCTCTCTTTTTTACTGGAAGTTGAAAATCGAATCTCTTTATTGGAACTTGTACTTTGATTATTACTTAAATTTACTGAGTTTATGTTAATGTTTTGAAGAAATAATCGGGAAAATTTGTTTCCAAAATGTAGGTCTTTGTGACGAAACGAACCTGTTAAAGATTCAATCTCTCACAAGTTTATCTCCCTCACAGAGAAGCTATAAAATGTTCACTACAGCATGATGGGAAATCGGTTCCTGATCCCATTTCAATCAATCAATCTATCGGACTCAAAATAAAAAAGGCAAATTCATGTATAACCATCCGTCCATTACTAAACATGTAGTGATGGGTGATAAAAGTATTGCACCTCCTGTGCGAATGGTGTGCTTTGTGACAAAAATAAATAAAGAAAAGAAGGGAGATACAAGATACCCCACCCAGGAAACACGTCAGGTTCGGATCACGTGCTTAGCACGTTGCTATGACGTTATATAATGAGGTAGCGGCGTGCTAGCCACGTGATCCGAACGTGACGTGTTTGCAGGGCAGATAGCCGCCAGATAAGGTGTGTCTGGTCAGACTGCAGACCTTGATAGTGTGACCGGGGTGTTGTCCAGTATCAAGGATTGTCTTTAATATGAAACACTTTACCGTCATGACAAAGCTTTCTTAAATACAACTTGCACACGAATCCCTGCATCAAAGAAAGTTTAAAACCTAGAAGAAGAGAGTCGGAATTAATCCCTATTGTTACTGTTAATTCCTATTAATTTCTATTCAGATCTATAGAATTTTTACCGCTGATTCTACTACTACTGCTACTGCTACTGCTACTACTACTGCTACTACTACTACTACTACTGCTACTGCTACTACTACTACTACTACTGCTACTGCTACTGCTACTGCTACTACTACTACTACTACTACTACTGCTACTACTACTACTACTACTGCTGCTGCTGCTGCTGCTGCTACTGCTACTACTACTGCTACTACTACTGCTACTACTACTACTGCTACTACTACTACTACTACTACTACTACTGCTGCTGCTACTACTACTACTACTACTACTACTACTACTACTGCTGCTACTACTACTACTACTACTACTGCTACTACTACTACTACTACTACTACTACTACTGCTACTACTACTACTACTACTACTACTACTGAGAAGAGAAAAATTTGAATTAATTCCTAATTTATACGAAGTCTTAAAGAAATATCGAAATTTATAAGAAATATAGACAATTTATTGTTAAAAATTGTTGAAAATACTACCAATACCATTATTATACATTCACTAATCTAACTACCACTATACTACTAAAACTAGCAACAAAATCAACAACAAGAAGAACAAGAATAACAATAACAATAACAATAAACATAAACATCCCCGGGACAATATTACTGTGGCTTTTTGAAAAATAAAACAAATATTTAGACGAGATGAAAAGACATCTGTAAAATTTTTCATATGGAGGTCTTTCCCCTGTCGAAAGTATCAGAAGGGGTGAATATAAATATCAAGTAATGAATGCGTACTATAAAAGGTCAAAAGTTGATATCCAAACATCAAATTTAGCACTATGGTGCTAGCGCATGCTACTTACGTGTGATGGCACCATGAACTTGCAGGTTAAAATTTATATTCAGATGACCTCAGGTGCTAATCGTCTGCGCATGCGCACCAGCATAGTGTTTATGTCTACTGATAGTATTTGAACCACTACTGCGCCCGATTTTGGGGTAAAAACTGAAAAATCGGTTTCTTAAAAGTTCTCTTTTACCTAAGCACCCATGATCACCGTTTTTCAATGCCGATTTAATGACACCATTTACACTCTAAAACTCTGTTAGCGATTTTTCTTAAAAGTCTTAGTTCTGATTTTATCGTTGATAAAGCAAAATAATACGTTTAATGAAAATCTATAATAAGGGGCTCATAACTCCATAACAAAAACACTTAAACCAAAATATAGGCACTTGATTGTAGCCCATACACTCGTGGTCAACTGTGCCAATTTTATTTGACTTAAAAGTTAATTCGCAGAGAAAGCAATGTGATGTTTACAGTTGGTTCAAAGCAGGTAGCAGTCAAAATTTAACGGCAGTGAACACATAAGTTATATTTGATAATGCCAAATTTATTTAAACATATTGAAAACTAATTCTTTTGCAGCTTAAGGGGTGTCTGTAAAAGGTTCTCAACGCTTTTAAACATGGAGAGCCACGTAATCCTATCACTATCTTTGGACAATTTTAAGGGGTGTAGTAAATTGCACGACCGCCGCTGAAGCGCTGCACCGAGATCCGACCATGGATAACTGTTCTTCATCGGAATGACGTCTGATCGATCTGCCTTCTCCGTGGTTAGGTCAACTAATAATGGCACGGCAATTTCAGCAAATAAACGCGGAATGTCAGGCCCCGTCATCCACTTCAAAACCTCAATAACTCGTGCCCGGTATCTGTTATTTGGAATGAATACAGTGTCTGCGTTATACTTAGATATCAGTCGCTTTCCTGTTTTGGTCCAATTTTTCACGTGAGCCAAGCCTTCCCTCCACGCTTCAGGCATAATATCGATGATTTTCCGCAAAGCGGCGCCACCGTACGTTTGCGGCCACCACATCCACCCGTCTGGCCACGTGATATTTATGTCGTATGTTTCTATGGGACCCAATATCCACATGGCGTCTCGGCGATAGGACAAAAAAGATGAAAGATTAAAGAAGGTATCATCACTGACGAAAAGGAAAGACGTATTTTTGTTTCCAAACCCTTCATAGGTGAGATGTTTTAGAAGACAGCGGTGCAGAAACTTGCCACCTTCTTGTTCCTTGTCCGTGCACGGCAGGAAAGGAACGCTTGTATCCATAAACGGCTGAGTAGCGCCTTCTCCCGTGAATGTTATCTCCTTAAAATGTCTGCTGTACATTTGATACAGTGTTGTAAATGCTTGCTCGCCGGGAATGTGATTGAAATGAACACACAACCTAACGTCGTCCCAAGGTTTGGGCATCGCCAGTCTTTCGGCCCAGCTTGGTACGTGGGCTCGCGGGAAGACATACCCAGCTGTCTTCAGCAACTGTATCCAAGTGTCTAATATTGCCAGATCTTCTTTCAAAATGATCCCTTTGTCGAATAAATACAGATACAGTTCTTTTAGCCTCTTATCTATTGACGTTGAGTTGCTGGACCACGCCAGTAAAAGATTGGTCAGTTTGATCAGTGTTGTGTCCTTAGACTGAGAGTTTTGTCCCGATGTTCGACGGGATGGAGTCGTTCTCTTAGTCCAGGGCGGTGAGACCGTCATGCTACCGTTGATATCCCACAGAAGTCTTTGAGTTATATAACCACGAATAATATCACATATCGACTTCTCGCATGTGGTGGGTACCAGAAGCCCCCAAAATACATCATACATATGTAGCGTTGAATGCTGGCTATATGGCACAAATGTTCCTTCTTGTATTTCCACAGGGCCCCCAACAGATTTATTGAATTTCAATGGCGACTTGAGAATTCCTTCCGGCACATCGGCATACCCATCTATGAGATAGTGAACAAGTAATACGCTTGAATTCCGCAATGCGTATGGCACCGGAGGAGCATTGCAGGCAGGGCGTCTCGACACCTCTTCTGGAAAACCTCTTGGCCAAACGTCTTTTTTGAAGTAAAAATATGAAAAAGGGTTCCAAAAATTCACTTTACCTGCTGGTATAACAAAAGGGATATCAGCACCTTTGTTATCAAGAGGCGGGCTAGAGGCCAGCCATTCGTGTCCAATTTCTTCATCGTCGTCATAAATCATCCTCGCACCTTTGGCTATAGCTACTAAATAGCCAATTGTTTTTCTACTCACGTGGTACTTGAGAATAGTGGCGTATTTCGCCGCATCTGTTACGTACATTGTACCGTTTTGTTTGTTTGGTACAAATATATGCAAGCGGTACTGATTCCCCTGTGGGAATTTTAATGTATAAGACCGCGTGAAAGTTTCTGACACAAAAATAGCACACCATGGAACCTGTAGTTTATCAAGGACATTTTTTATTCGTTGAGCGGAGGGATATTTCCCGGTATCCGCAACAAGCCATCTTTCACAAGTGAAGACCTTCGGCAATTCCTTGAAGGAGATGTTACTCCATTTTACGACATCGCCTGACTGTTTGATTAACGGCAACACGTGTACCTTGAATGGCGAGCTTTTTTCCGAGTAAATGGCAAGGTAAAGTGAGGCACTAACAAACACCACCAGGCAAACCACCGTCATCTCCCGCAGGCTGCACCTGGAAACAAAGCACGGATGCGTGTGAATTAGGGGTAGAAATAAAGCAAAAGTTTTATAAATGTTATTCACCGATTCTTCAATACATTGTACATGTGTAATCATAGATGCTCATGAAGTAATGGAAATATGTAGAGTCAATTGATAAGAACATCTATACGGAAGGTAATTATTACTGTCATTTCAAAAACAGGGGCTAATATTGAATAAAGTCCCGGAGCATTGTGGGGATGATGTGTTCCGGTGTACAGTATTATAAACCTAGGAACCAAAATATAGCTTAACTAGACAATATGGGAATGTTTACCCGAAGGTATCATGGTTCAAATGCCAATTACCGCTTTCGTATCTTCTTTATCTTCTACCCTAGTATAAACAGGGGCACTTGAAGGGTACCCTCTACCAGGACGACAGACTGATTTTTCACAAGATATTCAGATATTCGATTCTCTAGCTTTTTTAAATCTGCCTACAAAATCTGCCACCCTGGTAGAGGGTATTTAAGGAGACATTTCAACCGATGTGATAGTATTGTCCCAACTTCCTGTGTTATTTACATGTGTAGATAGGGAATGACAGTTACCTGCGAGATAAGATCATTTCTTTGTGTCGGGTAATGATAGGGAGCATCCACACTGAGAAGAGCCGAGGTCTAATAAGGCCGCGACCTAAATATAGCGGACCTGCATTATCCTGTAATGGGCTCACCACCTCTCACGCGGCTCCCCACGCGTCTTCCCTCGACCGGTTAAATTGAGCCGAGATTTAATTACTGTGCCCCTGCAGGGACAACGAGCGGGGAGCCGTGTGAGAGGCGGAGAGACCATTAATGGATTAAGCGGCCTTCCTTTCATGTAGGTCCGCCATATTTTGGTCGCGGCCTTACTAGACCTCGGCTCTTCTCGATGTGAATGCTCCTATATCTCCAACACTACGCCACTACACCTTCACTACTGGTACCTCTTGAACGGAGATTCTGTACTTATTTCAAGGTACATAACAAGCAAGAAGACAAAGGTGAACATTCCTTCTAACGCATACTAATTACCGGTACTGGTTTCTCACACAACTCAAATTAAAGTCACTTGCCGAAAATTGATCGAAATTAATCACTCGGTCAGCTGGGAAAGAATTCAAATCTGCATCTTTGAATTTCTGGTAGAAATTTTTTGTAGACTTACTTACCGGCCTTTCAGTTCGAAATGAAATGAAAAATGAAACGAAGGGGAATGATGGAGCGAAACCCTGTGATATTTCTTCAAGTTATAATACTTGTATCTGGTCAGCAATTTAGTCGTTTTAGTGGCAGTGATTTGATATGTCTACTCGCGAAGTACTTACCTTTAAAAACATTTTAGTGAACTTCTACCAAAGAAATCATTTAGATACAGTACGGGAAAATCTCTGCCACCGCTATACCCCCCCCCCCCCCTCCCCCCCCCCACATACACACACATACACACACACCACCCCTTTTCCACTCATTGTAATAAATTTCAAAATATTACTGGTAGAAGTTCAAACTAATACAATTACTTGGAACTCAAATTTAATAAATATAGAAATCTTGGTAAATTTTAAATAGAGGCCGGCAAGCGAAGGGAAACATAGATGTTAGAACTTTGCGACATACTTAAGTTTCAAATTGTATTTAGTAGCGTTACTGTTATCCTTACCATTGTTATTATTTTAATGACACTTCATATGCATACTACTGAGGTACCGTACCAATAACAAAAATGACACGGTGAAATAAACTACCACTATCACGACTATAGCCAAATTGACTCACTTAAGTAAAAAAAAAAACTCATGTTATATTTGACAAGCGTATATGCATGTACACAGCATATATGCTGTTCAAACATTACAAAAACACATCATGTTAAAGACAAAAGATTAAAACGCTGGTCAAATATGATAACACCACCACAACGAGTGGAGTGGGACCTACACATATAAATCCTGCCGAGATTTACAATGAAACAAAATTTATATAAACTGCAGAACGCAGTCATTCCGGAATGTGAATTCAATATTCTGCATCAACAAAAGCCATTCACTCCTCAACGTGAAACCCGATCACGGACATGACGCCATCAAATATGCCGACAGTGCAGACATTTCAGTTATTACTTGTAGTATAAACTGGATCAGTAGTCCTCAAGGGGGGTCATTATGACCGTGTATGACTTTAGCTACAGATGGAGAGCAACAACTATACACTCAATCTTTACAGCAACAAAATGTTCTCATACATGCACACAATGGTACACACACACCCCACCCACTCACTACAATGGTATTAACACCCCACCCCCACCCGCTCACTACACCCTATTCCAGTTCCAGTATTTCGAAAGTACGTTCACAGACGGTAGAGCGTATAAAGTGGAGATTTGCTATTTCTTGTACAGCAACCGTCACCATGTTTATAGTATTATGCAGTTAAAACGCCCCCACGTTCATGGATTACCTTGTTGGGCGCCATGTCCCCTTAGTCTGCATATCCACTGATTGTCCGACCGTCAGACTGTCAACATATAAAAGGGGGGCTCCACTTCACTCCCCTGTAACATCAACGACTTCATGTGCTGAAAGTAAAACACCAAAATAAGATGGAGGCACGCCCTGCACTGTGTGAGTGTGGGGACATGTAAATATACAGGGTTACCCACATGTTAACCGACCGCCGCTGTCGTACATATAATAGTTGTCCGCCATCAATTCATGGTCAGTGAAGTAAGCACGGCGTAACTATCGTGATGTCAGACTGATCGTGGTCAGGATATACTGGCATCTATATACATGTATCTTCACTGTAAGCCAGTAAACACAGCGTCTCGTAGGTTAACTCCCTTCATACTGCGTGCATATACATACATATATCACAAAGCACAATAAATAGACCCTATAGGCATCTACAGGTATAGTTATCGATTTTAAGGCATGCTGTTTTCTAAAAGCATTTACCTAAGTGTCTGAGTGTTAAACTCTCTCCCTCTCTCCAACCTCTCCTTTCTCTCTCTCCGAGTGCTCAGCCCTTCCCGTCTCTCTCTCTCTCTCTCTCTCTCACTCTCTGTGTGTGTGTGTGTGCGCGCGCGCGCGCGTGTAGACATATGTAGGCTCTATACATATTCTTCTCTCTTTCACACACACACACACACACACACACACACACACACACACACACCTTATTAACAGTGAGTCCAGTTCTCCACTACCACTGGAGAATGTGTCTGTCAATTCAAGCTGTGTTGACTCGTGTGTTTTCCATCACCTGCACACCTTGTATATACACCTACATCAAATAGAACAGAGGGGGGTCACACCTGAAAAAAAAACCCTCGTAGACCTAGTGAGACGTCTTTCCACGCGGAGATCAAACCGGATATCAACGTGCCAACCTAAGGTCCCGTGTCCTCACAGCAGCAGTCAATTTCAAACTTCACCCAGTATTAAACACCCAGCTGGTATTGTGTATTGTATTCAACTACTGGTATTGTCCATGCGGAATAAAAGCTTCAATGGTCGCTGGAATAGAATGCCCTCTTATGCAACTGACGTATTCTGTGATAGATACAATGAGAGTCGCCGAGCCGTGCGTGAAATGGTAGGAGTGTATTGTCGAGCCGCAGACGAAACAATGCACGAGTAAATTTCACGTACAGCTTGGCGACGAGTGTTCTATCTGGCTTAAACCACGGCATTTGATTGGCTACTTCGCTGCCCTTGCGATATTTTACTCGTGGTACGCATTCGTACATGTACATGACGTGCTCGTACGGCGAATACAGCACGGCCGAGTATTTTGTTCTATGTCACAGCCGTGGTTCGAGATTACATAATAGAAGGGTTGAAGACGATCGGTCTCGCGTTTGTAGTAAGACTCATACCGTAATTCGATAGATCACGCAAGAAACACCAAAGTAATGCATGTTGATATATTTTAACAATGCTAAAATAATTGGTCTCAAAGCACTATAAAATTTTAACATAACTATAAGGTCCTCTTCATATCGTGTGCTATACGTTCATGTTTTCACCATTTTAGGAGATTGACATTTATTTGCCTGAGTTTTTGGTCTTACATGCCAAGCACCTTAAGCGTTATAATCAATGTTCCTTTTTTATTTTCAACGCGTTTGTCATAAATCAAGTTTGTCGACACTAGTTTAAAAAA